TCAGTTACATAAGGCTCATGATTGGAGGAAATCTGTTTGCAGAGACAGTATGGGCAGTTTTACTTATGATTGGAGGCTCGTGATTGGAGAAAGCCTGTTTGCAGAGACAAGCTATTTCACTCATGATTGGAGGCTAGGAATAGGAGGAAGCCTGTTTGCAGAGACAAAGTATGAGCAGTTTTGCAACCACGCGGTTCTCTCCTCAGCTTACATCCTTGCATAAGACGCCATTCAATTTTTAGCGTAAGGATTTTAGAAAAAAGTATCATCTGATAGTTGTAAAAATACAGTATATTGGCAGATTCTGCATATTTGACAATAGATAGCATTGTCTGGTTCGTTGAGGTAGAAGTCTTTCTAAACTAAATGAAATGGGGAAAAAACTGCAAGGAATACTTAGTTTAGACAAAAATAACTTTGTGATAACAATTACTTTTAAAGTGTGTTTTTTTAAAGAAATGTGTTATCTGATTGTATGAAAAGTTGTTTGTCTCTGTTTCTGGGTTTGTTTGAGAATCAGCTGTTCTCACAGTTTCCTAAATTTCTGAGGACATCCAGAAGCTTTGCAAGGAATGATACTGTTTAGATCTTTAAAAGATTCTTCATGATAAATAGGTTAAAAATACCAGACCAGTATAGTACCCATGTTGAAACTGATCACTTAATGAGAATTTACCTGATGATATGGTGGCCTGAAGTTTCCTATTCATAGTTGTTTATGTACACTTCTTGTTCTTCATTTCTAGTCTTCCTTCAATTGCATATTGCTTTATTGTAGATGTCCTAGCCAGAATTCTGTATTACTGATTATTTATTTATTTAAAGTTAAAATATTTTTTAAAGTTAAAATATTTCAAGGTGACAGACATCTTTGGCTTAATGCAGATCAGAGTTTTCATGAGCAAACACATTTATGACAGTGGAGAGGTAAAGTGATAGTAAGTACAATCATTGATGAAGTCTCAGTTGGTAGTTCTAATTTAGTTAATGACTCGATATGCAAATGAATGATACTACAGTGCTAGGGGTAAGTAAACTGTTGAGGGAATAAAGAATCCAGTGGAGGCAAGTCTAAACCAGTTGTTAATCATTGCTAATATAGTTGAGTTTTCATTCTGTGCATTTTTAATGTTGAGGAACATAGCTTTGCTTTCCAGATGTAATTGACCTCACAGGGGATGACAAAGATGATCTACAGAGAGCTATTGCCCTCAGTTTGGAGGAATCAAACAGGACATTCAGGGAGACTGGAATAACAGATGAGGAGCAGGCCATTAGCAGGTAACGTACATGAAAAAAGGGGTATTTTTTAAAAGAAAACAAATGCTTTGTTGTTTTACGCAGTCATGATAACTTTCACTTATCTGCTCTTTGGTCTTTTTTTTTAAAATTTGTTTTATTTGCATTCTGCTCTAAATTCTGAAAATTCTAAAAATTATTCTCTAATATTTAAATAGAAGTTGAAGTAAGCTCAGCTATATTGGCATTCTGGTTTTTCTATCTCATTAGCTATTGATTTCTCTTCTGAAATCCTTGTATTTAGCTTGGACTTACCTTAATGTGGAGTTTTATGGGCTTATGCTTTCTGAAAAAGGTAACTGTCTGACATCACACATTGCACTAAGCCTGGTTTGTCAATGAAGCATAGTAGTTAGATTCATGTTAGGCAAATCTGTAAACTGTGGTTTACAAATCACAATTCATGGCCTTAAGATTTCCCAAAATCAAACCTAAACAATCCACATTGTGGCTCGCAACAATAGAATAATATTCAAGAGAAGTCAAGTAAAAGGGAAAAGGATGGAGAGTTTACTCTGTAGATATAAGAGGTTTCTTCTGTAATGTGAAGAACATATGCCAAAGTATCCCTGCACATTTCTACTAGTTTGCTTTTAAAATCACAGCAGATCAGATAGCAAAACTGCATTCAGTTTTCTTTCAAAATTCTTTAGGGGTATGTAAAATTTGCTAACCCCAGAATGAACTCTCCTAGTGAAATCTGAAATATTCCATTTCTGTCCAGACCATGACTTACTTCCTTTGGACTATCCCATTCTGGGATTGATTTGGCAGTTTCCAGAAGTAAATCCTTTGAACTGGGAATGGTATTAGGTAGCCAGGGATAGTCCTGACTCAAAACAGGCCTGTTTCAACCAGAATCATACATTCAGAACATGTCAAACTGTTTCTGGTTTAGAAGATTTACTTCCAGAAATTGCTGTGCCATCCATCTAGAATGACATGGTCCAGAGAGAGAGAATGTTCTAGAGTTCTTCAGAAAAGTACATTCTTGGATCAACAAATTTTGTACATTTTTAGTCTTCTATTGACATTTTTATGGATATGTACAGCAAAATATGTAATAACTATTAGGGGAAAGTTTTATGCTAGAGAAGGGATCACTTCAAATTTGATATTCTGATTGATTTCCCACAGTGATTTGTATATACAGTGATGCTTAAAAGTTTGTGAACCCTTTTGAATTTTTGATATTTCTGCATAAATATAACCTAAAACATGATCTATTTTCATGTTTTCCACACAAGTCCAAAAACTAGATAAAGAGAACCCAGTTAAACAAATGAGTCAAAAACGTTATACAGTCATGTGAAAAAGAAACTACACCCACTTTGAATTCTATGATTTTACAGATCGGGACATAATAAAAATCATCTGGTCCTTAGCAATTAAGGACTGCTAAGGGTGTACTTAGTTTTTCACAGATGGCTTTTCCATTTTGGCTTTCTTTTTGTAAAATAAATGATGACATGGTGTAATAT